CTTCASTCCCTGAACACATGGGATACCTGTTCTCACAGCTTATCAATGATGAATCACCACATTTCAATTCAGGCATTTTAATTTTTTTTGAGTGCATTATTTTGAGCCAAGGTGTGGCCACAATTCCCTCACCTCAGATGAAGTTTTGCTCAAATAAAGTAGGCTTTATAACTTAATTAGACCATCATACTATCTCTATCTGCCTCTTAAAACAAAACCAAAAAATGTTCTGAAATGAAAATGGGGGRAAAACTTTCTTATGAGCATTGATCTTGAACCTCTCAAATTACACAAAACCTCCATTCTCAAATTACCCCAAGGATCAGTAAACGACATGTAGTACTGGCTTCCCACTTCTTCCCCATGGATGATGCATCAGGCACTATGATCCTTGAAACACATCATGTAAGTAAATTACTCAGACTGGCTAGTTCCTAGATATGACATTTTCCTTGCTAAATAGCTCATACTAGTCTTCTATTGTAAAGCAGATTGTATGACCTAGTTATAATCCAAAGCACGTTATATTTCTAGTAATTTGCTAATTATTTTGAGCAATTTATAATCCTGAGATCACTAAGGTGAGCTGAAGATGTCCATCCACATTCTAGATTTAAGTTTGCTCTAGACAGAAGAGAGTAAGGCTGAGACTTAATAGACTCTCAGAGAAAGGTGGAAGGGAAATTATGCCTAYCAAATTGTTCTTTGAAGTGTGTCAGAGGGAGTGCTATACAGTGAAAAGAAAACTATACTCCAAGTCAAAACCTAGTTGCTCATCAGCTGTGTGACTCTGGGAAGATAATTCAGATGTCMTGAGCCACAGCATCTCTGTTCACCAAACATATAAAGATCTATCTTATCATATGGTTGTAAAGATCAAGTGAGATAAAGTAGATCCCATGAGATAATGCAAAAGTGCTAGTAAGCTAGAACATGCTATGGGAGGCTCACTCTGTAGTGGGGAACAAAGCATTATTAAATACAGTAATTATAATACTATGAATGTTGAAACAGACATGAGAAAACAGAGGGAGCACATACTTCGGCCTCACAGAGAAGAGCTCAGGCTGAGGAGGCTGAGGCTGGCTGACCCTGGGATGGATGAGTTGGACTCCATTGTTACAGAAGAAGTCAGGGCTACAAGAGAACAACCRGAGCAAACACACTCACTCTTGGGCAAGGGAGATTATGCCCGTTGGAAAAATGTGGGGGCTAAAACACAGTGTGCCTACAGAGGTGTGGTGGGAGACGACAGCAGAGAGAAAGGCAAGCACCAGATCAGAGAGGACCTGTGCCTACACCAAGAAGTCTAAACCCATCCTGTGAGTGTTGGGAAGACATGGAAGAGACGTGTCAAAACAACACAACAACAACAACAACAAAAACAAAAAACAGTAATATCAAAACTCCTGGTTTACAAATTTTTCCTATATACCAGGAGGTTTCTGTTCTAGCTGGGTGTTCCTGGACAAAGATTTTAACACAAAGATCTGTGGCCGTAAATATATAAAAAGAAATAACGCTAGCTCGGGAGACATGGCGGGTGTTAAAGCTCTTGTGGCATTATCCTTCGCTGGGGCTACTGGACTGACTTTTCTTGTGCTGGGATGTGCCTTGGAGGATTATGGTRTAGACTCGCCCTTTTTTGTCCTGTTTTTCCACACCATCTCCCCTATTCCCCATTTCATCTCCAAAAGAGTCATATATGACTGTAACATAACCAGCAGTGCATATTTCTTCACTACTGGAATTGTTGCTTCTGCCTTTGGATTTCCTGTTATTCTTGCACGTGTGGCCATGATCAAATGGGGAGCCTTGTACTGGGAAGCAACACTGTCGTTTTTCTTACAATTCTAGGTTTTTTCCTGGTATTTGGAAGAGGAGATGATTTTAGCTGGGAGCCATGGTAGCACTTTATTTTGATAGAGAACACTGTATTTCTTAAGATTTGTACTGTATGTATATGTGTATACCCATGGCATTTTACCATGGGATTTAATATGCTGGKTTTTTTTATACCTTCATATCATGATCACTCTAAGGAAGACTTCCTAAGTAAAAGATTAGTTTTATTCCTAGATAATGGACCACTATTTTTACTGAAGTTGAATTATGTTATTTGTTTGGCTGTTCACATAGTCAAACAGCTGCTCATCTGTACAGGCCACCTAAACCTTTTGTGTGGAGGTATGCTTAGATTGGTGAAGACATTGAAGCAGGTCTTTTATAGCTCAGAAAAACTTGGCTCCCTCTGTGTTGTAGACCCTTGCTTCTCAGAATGTGGTCCACAGACCAAGAGCACTAGCATCTCCTAGCTTATTGGAAATATAAAATCTGAAGCTCCTCTGCCCACCACCCAGACCCAGTGCATTTTGATGAGAGAATCATATTCACATTAGAGTTTGAGAAACTTTGTTATAAACATCACACCTAGCTTCCTTGACTTGCCCTTGGATCCATCACTTATCCTCTTTGGGAGTTCTGCTCATTTGAGGGGAAAAAAATATCCTTATGTGGAGGAGGGGTTCAGACTCTCTTTGGTGTTTGTGAACTGTTCCAAACTGTAATATATGGGCTATTTCCCAAATCTGTGGAAAGTGTTTTCAGTGGGAAGCAGATATGTCCACCATCTGAAAGGCAGTGCCTTTTTCACAGTGCGAGAGCCCAAAATAACCCAAGCCCCACTGGTATGCAGGAGAGGAAGGCTAGGCTGGAACCAGTCGCTGCTTTAATTATGAGGAGAGAAGAAGAGATAGGCATCACTTTTAAATTTCCCTTATTAGTCCTGCACTTCTTCCTAACCCCTTCCTAATGCTACCTTATCCYAACTCCTTAGCAGTTCTGATATTCCCTTTCTTCTTGATGGCTCTGCCCTTCTCCTTTCTCCAGAAATACTGGAGCCAAGTGAGCAAGCCAAAAGTGAACTGCTGGAGTTTATTTACATGTTGATGTACTCAATGGTATTTCATTCAAAACTTTATGCCACCTTTAAATAAATCATGGGAAATACATGTCAGGTTGTATCTTATAATCATAGTTTTACTAGCTCATCTTTTTGTCCACAAACCCACTGAGAAAAGAAAATATAGGAAATAGAACCACTTGATAAGAAAAAAGCCGATGGTTTTAAAACATTAATGTGGCAGTTGACATGTGTACAAAGCACTTCCACCTTGAGGCTTGTGATCTTAGTAATTAGCACACCCTTTGTTTGTTGGTGTGATGTTGGAACCAGAGAAAAGTGATATCTAAAAGAATAATGAGCAATGTTGGTTTTTTTGGCCTTGTACATGATTTCATGTTTTCAATATTCTGTTAATACACAGAATTGTTGAAGTTGTCATTTGCAATATTTACATTAGGAAGATTATTTAAATACTTTGTAATTTTAACTGGCATTTTTAATCATGACACTTGCACTTATTATAATAAATTTCACTTTTAACACAAAAAAAAAGAAATAAAAAGAAATGACAATACATTTATGGAGTCCTTATTCTGTGCCAGGCACTGTGCTGTGTCCTTTGTGTCTCTCTTTGGGAAACTGAAATGAGGGCATGATCATCCATATTATGCAAATGAGGAAACTGAGGTTCAAAAAAAGAAGTCTCCTGTCTAAATTCAAAGAATTAGTGGCAGCAGAGCCACCACTAGAAATTAGATCTAGCTGTTTATTTTAGCCAAAACACTACAAAAAAAAAAGCAAGAACACTATTTTTTTCATTTAAATGAAAATTTGATTCCAACTACTTCTGAATATTATGAGGTATTATAAAAATTAAAGATTTGGGAGGTCAGGCATGGTGGCACACACCTATAATCCTAGAGGCTGAGGCAGGAGGATCTCGAGTTCAAAGCCAACCTCAGCAACTTAGCGGCCCTAAGAAACTCAGTAAGACCCTGTCTCTAAATAAAATACAAAAAAGAGTTGAGGATGTGGTTCAGTGGTTAAGTGTCACTGGGTTCAATCCCCATTACCAAAAAAAAAAAAAAGAAAAAAGAAAAATTTTAAATTCTACCTCCCAACAACTTAAATGTTTCTTACTCTATACAAATCACAGTATTTACTTTTTTTTTTTTTTTTTTTTTTTTTTTTTGGTGGTGGTGCTGGGCATTGAACCCAGGGCCCTATGCATGCTAGGCAAGCACTCTACCCATTGAGCTATATCCCCAGCCCCCAAAATCATAGTATTTATTTTTAAAAGACTGATATAAATATAACCTATTCCATTAATAGATTTCCAACTTAACCTCAAGGACAAGAAGCTAATCAATCAAAAGACATTTTTAATCAAGAAAATATTAGAAAAGCATCTTAGAATCCTTATCATAAATGACTAAAAAAAAAGTATGACTTTTAAGTATTGTCCTAAATGTTTGTATAGTACTATCCATAATCTTAATATTACTTTAAAATATATAGTTTTATAAATATAGATTTTTTTCAATAGCCTTAGTTCTTCTATACTAACTAACTCTACAATTCCAATATTTGTTTTATCAACAACATAAAGTCTAGTGGCTAAGGAATTTTCAAATTACCAAACTCCATAAAAAGCACTTAAAAAAAAAAAAGCAGTACTTTGAGATGCACATACAGAATTCACATGATTGACAGATCCTTCCCATATAACATTACTAATAGTCCTTTCTATTGAGGCAGAATAGGCAAAAATAGGGATGTGCATTTAAAAGAGGCTGTGCAAAAAGTACAAAATAATGCCAAGCAAACTATGGCTAACCAATTGTTAATGCAAATAAAATGCATACTTTCAGAGTAAGAAATCAGAGATATCAAATTCCCAGAGAGCCAGACAAGAATAAAGACATTTAAGTGCTACAGACTGAAAGGGTTCTACAGTTGGAAAAATACAGATATATCTTTAAAAAAAAAAAAAAAAAAAAAACATGAGAGAGAGAGAAAGCAGTAGGATTTGTGAAGAAGGGAGAGTTAGTTTTCCACAGGGTCTGTGGGTGTTACCCCATGGGATCTTCATTACCTTGCAGTGACACCTGGAGATGGTCAATGCCCAAGGCAGCCTGTTGATCTCTGTGGGGAAGGTCAGGACTAGATGCCATTTTTTTGACTCGATGGAGATTATCTCATGTCCATCTCAGTTACAGAAGTGAACTGAAAGTGAAAAGGGAGAAATGTTCATTAGGGACTCCGCAGCTCTGCATTTCTGATAAATGTACCCTGACAAGAAAACAGCAACAAGCAAACACTGCCCTCCAAAAGAAGTGCACGCAGGTTTCTGGGAGTGTTTCCGCAGTTCATGGGGAACAAAGTAACCTACGCCTTCTCTTTGAATCACAATCAAGATTTTGCCCTGTGACCTATTCAAGCGCTTTGGAATTGCTGGCAGAACTCCAAAAGAACTAGTATTGTGGATTCCATACCAGCCATGAAAAGGAAACTGAAATTCAGTAACTTTCTAGAGGAAACAAAGTGGACATAAACTGGTATCTTAGGCATTAGCCTGTGTGTTGTTAACCTTCAACCACCGAAAATTTTCTTCAAAACATTTTATTTAATTTAGTTCCTCTTCTGAACCATAAATGTTGCCATTCACTGGCAACAAGAGCTGAGACTGCATTAACTTACATCTATCTATTATATTATTTTCCCAAGTACTTATTTTTCCACCTACACATTTCTCCCTTGGCCTTTTGAGTCTCTTGAATCTTACTTACTTACTTACTTACTTAGGTATTTTGTTTTGCGGTGCTGGGGATTGACTCCAAGGCTTCATGCAGAAGAAGCAGGTGCTCTATCTCTGAGTTACACCCTGCTCTTCACCTTGAATGTTAATTATTCGAATAAACTCCTTACATCACAACTCTAAAAAAGCACTGGATGTGTGTATGTGTGTGTCTACTAATTTCTGGGGACTGAGAATAAAATAATGACTTCACTCAAGAGCATAATTAAATAATGGAATAAACCTGAACAGGGGCTAGGGTTCTGGCTCAGTAGTGGAGCGCTTATCTAGTATGTGTGAGACACCAGGTTCGATCTTCAGCACCACATAAAAATAAATAAATAAAATAAAGTTATTGTGTCCATCTACAACTAAAAAAAAAATTTAAATTAAAGAATAAAATTAATCTGGGCTGGGGTTGTGGCTCATCGGTAGAACACTCGCCTAGCATGTGCRAGTCCCTGGGCTGGATCCTCAGCACCACATAAAAATAAATTAAAAGTATTGTGCCCAACTACAACTAAAAACAAAACAACAACAACAAAAAACTTAGAATAAAATTAACCAAATATATAAAATGTATGCACAGGGTTTAGGATGTAGCTCAGTGGTTCAGTACTTGTCTATGATGTGCCCAGTCCTATGTTTGATTCCCAGTTCCACAATCGATCAATCAATAAAATAAGATGGAAGTACAGCTTTGTAACCAAGCAAGTACTGGATGAAGTTAATGTTAGAATCTGTGTGTCGGGGTGTGGCTCAGGGTAGAGCACTTACCCAGCATGTTAGAGGCCCTTGGTTCAATCTCTAGCTGCAGGATGGGAATAGAGGAGGTGAAAGTGGAACAGAGGTGGGGAAACAGTGTTGAATATGTGAACATGGACTGTAAAATACCCTAACTCTGCTATAACTAGAAATTTATCATAATAAAATGCTGAAAGGAAAACCAAAAAATAAATCTGAGGCCAACAGCTAGATACAATCAGTCATATTAAATGTTAAACAGACTATTTTTAAATATGAAGAGGATAAAAATCATTAAACAGTTCAAAAATCTTTCCATTTCTTCCTCCCAATGTTTATTATCAAAACCACTCCTTCTATTATCTTTCCTGTAGATCACTGTTATTAAAGATTTTATCTACCAAATAAACTTTATCAATAATTCAGTTGCTTACCCTCTGAATTAAGATGCATCAGAACCAGCCAGACTTAACAGAGTGGCTCTACTGAGTTGATTCATTCTAACTAAAAAGATTAACTTATTAGTTCCCAAGGGCCTGATTATATCTAGCTATAGCCTGGTGACAAAGAAAGACAGAGGTCCTCAGCCTTGTGATATACTGAGGACATTCACTATCCCTTTCCACATCCTCCAGCTCCTAAACCCAAAGTGGAGACAAAGTACTACTTCATTTTCACAGAAGAAAAACTGAATCCAGAATGAATTTCCTAAGGATACCTACTGTTTTATCCAGGGCTATTTTTAAAGGGGAGGGGGGATAATAACAATAGTAGCAGCCACCTTATRCAGCACTCACTATATATAGGCACTGTTCAATGCACTTTGCATATACCACCCTTTATAAGAACTGTCTGAGCTCGGTACTGCAATTATCCCCACATTTGAGAAGACAACCAAGAAGCTGGGCATGGTAGCACATACCTGTAATCCCAGCAGCTCAGGAGACTGAGGCAGGAGGATTGCAAGTTCAAAGCCAGCCTCAGCAACTTAGCAAGGCCCCAAGTAAATCAGGAAGACCCTGCCTCTAAATAAAATACAAAGGGCTGGGGATGTGGCTCAGTGGTTAAGTGCCCCTGAGTTCAATCTCCAGTACCCCTCCACCAAAAAGACAACTAAGATGCACAAATATGATATACAGCTGTCTAAGGACACACAGCTAATAAACGATAGAGCCAAGATTTGAATCTAGGTGGTTATACTCTAAATCAATACATGACCATATTCCCACAGATAGCTAGAAGTTTGCCATGTGTCATTTATTCCTTTTTTTTTTTTCTTAATAGTACTAGGGACTGAACCCAGGGGCACTGTGCATTGAACTACATGCCCAGCTTTTTTTGTCTTTATTTTGAGACAAGGTCTCTAAGTTGTCCAGGCTAGCCTTGAACTAGAAATCCCCCTGCCTCATCCATCCAAGTCACTGGGATTGCAAGCATGCACTACCACACTCAGCTGTTCTTTTATTCACTTACTCAACAAACATTGCTATGTACTAGAAGCTGATCTCAAAGAATCCAATCTGAGAATAACAACTAAATACAATATGAAGCACAATTCTCTAAGAGAGGAGTGTAGGGGATTCTTTGTGGCCAAGAAGGTATGCCTGCTCCATCACTTGAAGGTAGAGATAGATAGGACCATCAGCAGTTGCAATGGACAGAATTTGTATTTCCCTCAAGATTCCAATTGAAATTCTCACCCCCAGGTATTAGGTGGTGGGGCCTTTGAGAGATGATGTCATGAGGCAGGAGCCCTATGAATGGGATCAGTGCCTTTATTTTAAAAAAGGGTGGAGAGAGACCTGTATCTACTTCCACCATGCCAGGTTACAGTAAGAAGTTGGCTGTCTATGTGGAAGTGGGTCCTCACTAGACCCTGCCTCTGCTGCCAACTTGATCTTAAACTTCCAAGCCTATAAAAACCATGAGAAATACAGTTCTGTTGTTTTGTTTTGTTTTTTAATTTTTACAGTAATAGGGATTGAACTCTGGGCCTCACACACACTAGGCAAGTATTAAGAGCAGCCTAAATGAACTAGGACAGGAGTTATACATATTAAAACAGCATGTCACTCTAAAAAATCTCATCACCGTTGGCATTATTTGGATGATACCTTGGACTTGGTAAGAGTTTCTCTGAAAACCACTTACTGCCACTACTAATCAACTATAAAGTACCAAATATAGGGGAAATAATACATATTTTCTTACTTATAAAAACATTTCTTATTTATGAAAGTATTTCCTATTTATATTACAAATTAAGACAAAAGAATAAATAATATGTTAATAACAAGCTAATAACCAAATTAAGAAATATTCCCATCTAGACCGATGTATGGAATTTACTGTATTGTATGTTAAAGCTGTAGGAAAAATTTGGTAAAAATGGCAAAAATAAAAAAACAGACTTTAAGATAACTAGATGTCTCAGTTTGATTTTTACTGTAAAAATGTTTTAGCAAATATGTCAATAAAATATAATAATTTTTATACCCTGAAGAACTTCTTAGCACTTCTAAAAACATCCATTAAAAGTAAAACCCAACTTTGAGTACTGGATCAATGACAAGTGTCATTGGCCCAGATACTGTCTTAGTATAATTATTTACCAAAACATGCTATAGTGGTGATGAGGATTTGATTAAAGATCTTTTTTTATGATATTCCCAATGCAATTTTATTTGATGACAGAGAGAAAGAGTTGACATTTCCACAGAGGAAACAAGGCCCATCAAAAACTGGAACAGGGTAGAGAAGATAAGTCTGGGGAGATTTCTCGGCTTTACATTGAGAAGCTAGAAAGACTAAAAAGGGAAGGCAAAAAGGGGTGAGGTTTTGGCTCAGAGTCACAGGGTCTCTGTCAGCCAGACTCCCCAGGACTGCGTCATCCCTGAGTTCTGACTCCAGAGGGGAGCCCCGGGCTGCATCCTCAGGTGGATCTCAGACTGCTGGCCTCCACTGAAACGTTGCCACAATTATGTAGGAAATCAGTGTTTAGAATTAAAATAAATGAGGCTATTCTTAAAAGTGAATAATGGACCTTCTTCAGGAACATAAGGAAAGGTTGGGTAAAGAATTAATGCAGTGGCATTAAAGCTTCTAAGATCAAATGAAGTGATGGGGAATTGTGTTTTAAAAATTCATGTACATTAATACACAGGCTATTTTGAAACAATCGTGGTTTGCTTATGCAATATATATTAATATGTCTGTGGTATCTACAAAACCTCAAAACACTGGTGAATTTCCCTTTTTAAAAGAATCTTGGCATTTACTTTGGATTATTATGAATGGAATGCTTTCAAAGAAATCTGAATGGAGGTTATTTCCAATGAGTGCCATTATGGGTGATTTTTATTTTCTACTTTTTGCTGATCTTCATATTTTTAAAATGATAAATACCCATGTCTACTGCAATAAAATTTCTTTTTTTTTTCTTTTTATTGAAATAGGGAATAAGGTATTATGTAGTTCAGGGTCAGTTTTTCAAACCATATATTATAGAACCTGCATATCTATATCTTCATAATGAGAAAAAAGCCAGGAACAAGTATTAGAAAAAGCCTCTGAGTTTGTTAAAAATTTGGCTGGGGATGTGGCTCAGTGGCCGAGTGCCTCTGAGTTCAATCC